AAAAAAAAAAAAAAAAGAAAAAAAAGAAATATCTGCATTAGAGTTACTTAGGATGCTTATCAAAACTGCAGAGTCCCCAGCCTGGGCAACACAGAGAGAACTCATCTGTACAAATAATTTAAAAATTAGACAGATGTGGTGGTGTACCCCTGTGGTCCCAGCTACTGTGGAGGCTGAGGAGGGAGACTCTCAAATCCAGGAGGTCAAGGCTACAGTAAGCCCTGATAGCACCACTGCACTCCAGCCTGGGCAACACAGTGAGACCCCATCTCAAAACAAAAAAAAAAAATTAAAAACCCTGCAGATTACTGAGCTTTCCATTAATTCTGTTGAATAGCATTCCTGGGGATAAAGCCCAGAAACCCATTTTAATAGATTTCCCACCTGAGCATTAATTACACTAAAGTTTGACAACCACTGTTTTAAACAAACACAGTAAGGGATATAGTGAAAATGAAAGACCAGGTACCCCAGAAAGCCAGTGTCAACAGAGAAAAATAGTAGAAAAGAGAATATATTTCCTCGATTCTAAGATACCCTCAACTGTAAGATATACCATTGATTTAATAGCAGCTTTTGAAGAAAAGAGTAGTTTACTAGTTTCTCTAAAATGGGTATACTTAGATTTTGTTTTAAGAAAACAAAATTAGGCCAGTCATGGTGTAATCCCAACACTTTAGGCGGCTGAGTGGGGAGGATGGTTTGAGACCAGGAGTTTGAGACCAGCCTGGGCAACATAGCAAGACCCCATTTTCTCTAACCAGGTAAGGTGGTACATGCCAATAGTCCTAGCTACTCAGGAGGCTGAGGTGAGAGGATTCTTTGAACCCGGGAGTTCAAGGCTGTAGTGAGCTATGATTGTGCCACTGCACTCCAGCCTGGGCAAAAAAGTGAAACCTTATCTAAAAAAAAAAATTAAATTTCAAAATAGGACATACTGTGAGATAAATAAAACAGAACTACGTGAATGTTTTAAGCCTAGGTGACTGAGAGAATGATATTAATGTGAAAAAAACATGAGACAGACAAGAACAAAAAAAAATTGACATCAGGATTATAAATACAGACTTAGACACTACTTTGAAAGTATATCTATCCACACATACACACATACACATACACACACACACACACACACACACACACACACACCCCACCCTCAAGGGAAAGTGTATAGGAAAACATGGCCAAAAGACTAATTTTGGAGCATTGCACAGTTCCGGAAAAGTAATGAAAAATAACAGTGAATATAGAAGGTGAATTTAGAAGCCTCTCACTGTCTCTCGTTAAGGTTTATTTATTTGTCATGCAAGTGAGAAGAGGTTGCTTCCCCTAATGCTAGAGTAGTAAATTCTCAAACTTTATCAAAGATCAGAATCACCCAGAGGTCTTAGGTCTGGAATGTGGATCAATAATTTTCCTTTTTTCTTTTTTGAGACAGAGTTTTGCTCTTGTTGCCCAGACTGGAGTGCAATAGCATGATCTCGGTTCACTGCAACCTCCATCTCTTAGGTTCAAGTGATTCTCCTGCCCTCAGCCTCCTGAGTAGCTACTATTACAGGCATGCGCCATCAAGTCCAGCTAATTTTTTGTATTTTTAGCAGAGACAAAGTTTCTCCATGTTGGTCAGGCTGGTCTTGAACTCCCAACCTCAGG